ACAGATGCTAACACCTCCTTTTAGACTTCTGTTCTCCCGACTATGAGAAAATAAATTTCTGTTGTTTTAAGTAGTATGTAGCACTTTGCTACAGCCGCCCTAAAAAACTAACAGAGTTGGAATATCTTGTGTCTGTAAGAAAAAAAAGCCCAAGGATTAGGGCATATGAAAAAGACACAGGAAATAGTTTGAAGATTCCTTTAGTAGACAAATTATTTCAGTGCATTATACTGCATGAATAAAGCAGAAATCTGTAAGTCTATATAAAAAAATACATGGATGTTGGGAAAGGCACTCTACCATGGATACTGAAAATCCCTATACATCCTTGTTCAATTGTTCAGGGCCTTACTGCTCTCATTTCTCAGGACTGTGTGACCAACAAGACACCTTTGGAAATGCAGTAACATCTCTCTAGCTCCTGACAAACAGCAGGTTTGCTGTAAGTTGTGAATTTCCATAACTCAGTGCTCTTTCTTTTCCTATTGCACAACCCACTACATATGCAGAAATCCAAATTAACATGACCTGTGCCATCCGTGGGATTCAGAAGATGCTGGAAATTAACAATATCTGTGTCACCCGTGGGACTCAAGAGATGCTGGAAATTGATGCAAACCAAATGAAAGCTCATGCAGTTTGCCAAGCCATCAGTAACAATCTTTGAGCTCTAAGACAGGTGTCAGAAGCCTTCTGCCAGTATTTAAGAAACAGAAACTGACTAACTTAGTTTGCAAACGGGGCAAAATCTCAGACCTTTAACACTTCTTAACACTTCTTTTCTTAATGGACAGATGGGTTGATGGTGGATGGACAGATGGATGAATGGAGAAATGAAAAGCTCCTTCTGTCTCAATTAGGGTTACTATTGCTATGATAAAACACCATGACCAAAGCAACTTGAGAGGAAAGAGTTTATTTAGCTTAAGCTTCCACATTATAGTTCATCATCAAAGGAAGTCAAGATAGAAACTCAACCAGGGCAGGAACCTGGATGCAGAGGCCATAAAGGGGTGCTGCTTCCTGGCTTGTTCCTCATGGTTTGCTCAGCCTCCTTTCTTATCGAACCCAGAACCACCATCCTAGGGATGACCCCACCCACAATGGGCTGGGTCTTCCCATATCAATCACTAAGAAATGCCCCCACATTGCCTGCAGCCCATCTCATGAAGGCATTTTCTCTATTCAGGTTCCCTCCTCTTTGATAACTCTAGCTTATGTCAACTTGACATAAAATTAGCCAGGATACTTGCACACAGTTGAATGCCAATAATAAACATAGAACATATAGTAGAGTTGGAAAATCATTAATGAATTTTAAAAACTAGTAGGTGAAATCCAGTTAATAAAAATGTATGTATATAGAGAATCTCAAAGTGTTCCTCACAAATTACTCACCAATCATAAAGAAATAGGAACTTCTCAGTAGAGAAGTCTGGCAGATACCACCATTACCCAAGTGATTAACATTGGCAGCACCAATACTAGAATAAGCAGAAATCATGTACTTGCTCATAAAATGCACTGAGGGCATACTTCTGTGTTATTCCTCCTAAAATGTGCAATCTGAAGCTAATTACAAGCAATCCAAAAAGAGAGACTTTCTTCAAAATAACTGGCTTATCATTTTCAAGATATATATGGAGACAGAAAGAAAGATAGCTGAATGTGTGTGTGTGTGTGTGTGTGTGTGTGTGTGTGTGTGTGTGTGTATCAGGCAAGAAAGAAAAAGAAAGCCCAAGAAATTGTTGCAAATTAGAGGATCCTAAAGAAATATGACAAGTGGATACAATGCACAGTTCTAAATCAGGTCACGGTAAAAATTTTAGCAAATAGCTGGAAAGGGAATTGCTAAAATAAATGAGAAATTTGAATACACACTACAAATTCCACAATGAAGATGGATCAATATTAAAACTTCTAATCTTTATAGAAGCTTCCTAAAATATATACATATGCATAAAAAAGTTAAAATTCCTGATTTTGATTATTATGAAAGGTAAGTTATTTGTTCTTAGGAAGTAAATACTCAAGTACTGAGGATAAATGAACATGGTATCTCCAAATAATTAAAAAATATATTTAGCTGGGCAGTGGTGACCCACACCTTTAATCTTAGCACTCAGAGGCTGAAGTTGGCCTGCCTGGTCCACAGGTCCAGTTCCAGGGTGACCAGGGCAACACAGAGAAACCATGTCTCAAAAAACAAATTATATTTATAGATGTGTGTATAAATGTATAAATAGAATGATAAAACAAATATAACAGGTAAATCTAATAGAGGCTATATAGAAAGAAGCTCCTTCTACTATTGAAAAATTTTAATTGTCAATATTAAAACCTAACTTCCCCCTGCTAAAAATGCATAAAGACAAAAGAATTACTTTTATACCACCTCCTGATCAATACCTTGGTGGGGTAAAACACAAATGAAAAACACAGGCAAAGGGTGACATTAAGTTACCATATAGCTTTAAGAAAAATAACTGTTTGAATTGTTGTAACTTCATATAGTCATATATACAGGTTTGGTTTGGTTTTGATTCTATGTGTGTGTATGAATGTGCATGTGTGTGTTTCAAAGAGCAGGTGTAGTAAGGTTGAGTCATTTAAGCATAGGTCTAATTTCTAATGTCATTGCCTGTTACTAACCATAGGCAAGTTAGTGAACCTCTCTATGTCTGAATTTCCTAACTTTTAAAATACAGGCAATAATAATTTCTAAGTTTTAAGATTTTTGTGGCAATTTTAAAGGATAATATATATAAACCTAGACTTAGCCTACATACGCATGTTCATTTTACTTCTTAGAAACAAATTTAGCAAATTTTTGTTTTGTTTTGTTTTTTTTGGTGCTGGGACTTGAACCCAAACATTCAGAATTGCTAAGCGAGTGATCTAGCTCTGAGCTCATCTCTAGGCATGTAAAAATCACTCTTTTTATCCTAAATAGCTAATGTCAAATCTGAAGGTCAAAGCTCTCCTGATATTGAGATTATGGTATTATGCCTCTTACCAATTCAAAAAGCAAAGGGAAAAAAAAACAAAAAACAACTGAAATGTAGACAAGGCACAGAAGTATACACTCACAGGTGCTGTGAAATGCAGCTCCTCCTTACAAGATGGCAGCTTTTTGTTGTTCTGTGCCTCTGTTTTGTTTTGACTTTTGGAGACAAGGCTTCGACTTGGCAGTCCTGGAATTGTAGACCAGGCTGAGATCTACCTGCCTCTCTGCCTCTGCCTGGCTGGCTTTACAAGACTGCAATGCTAACTTTGTTTTTGGTTGTTTGGTTTTTTGAGACAAGGTTTCTCTGTGTAGCCCTGGCTGTCTTGGAATTTGCTCTATAGAACAGGCTGGCCTCAAACTTAGAAAGATAGGCTTGTTTCTGCCTTCCAAGTGCTGGGATTAAAAGTGATCATAATGACCCAACCTCTAGCTACGTACCTTTTCACCATTCTTATGTTTTTTGTTTTCAATATTTTAAATGGGGATGGTGGGACAGCTCCGCAGTTAAGAACACGGATAGCTCTCCTTAGGACCTGGCTTCCGCGGATACATGGCAGCTTACAACCCCCAGTAATTCTACCTCCAGGAGGGTCAAAAGCCCTTGTCTGCTTTCTGTGGGTACCAGGAATGTACATGTGCATGTACTTGTACATACATGCAAGTACACACACACATTAAAATAAAACAATCTGAAAACCTTTATTTCAAGGGCATCAGGATGGATTAGAGGGTAAAGGCGCATGTCTCCAAGTCTAACTACCTGAGTTCATGAGACTCAGAGGAAGAAAATTGATTCCCCTTGCAAGTTGTCTTTTAATTTCCAAATGCACGTGGGGCAAGCACACACACACACACACAATAATATAATTTTTAAATGGCTTTAAAAACATTTCAAAATAAAGTAACAACATATCTGTACTGAATTCTTTCTAAGCATTCTCCATAAGTATCCTAGAAGGCAGGGCCCACATACGTGAATATTATCTCTAACATCCCTAGCATCTACAGTCATTTTTTTCTCTCATGCAATTCTCTAGAATTTATACACTATTTTTTATATTACTGAACACAAATTTTAATATGTTTTATCATCCCTATCATGCTTTAAACTACATAATGGCAGAAATGTCATATTTATCTTGTATATCTATCAAGTATCTCAAACTTACTAGGAAATGTTCATTAAAATATCAAAGAAGAGCTAGAGAGTTGGCTCAATGGCTCATGTCACCTCTCTGCACCCACATGGTGGCTCAACTAGACCACAATTTCTAAGAAAACTGTCATCCTCTCATGCCTCCAAGGGCACTGCACACACGTGGGACACATACCTGTATGTAGGCAAAACACACATTCCTATAAGGTAAATAAAACTATTTTTCCTTGAGACAGGGTTTCTCTGTGTAGCCCTTGCTGTCTTAGAACTCACTCTGTAGACCAGGCTGGCCTGGAACTCAGAGATCCGCCTGCATCTGCCTCCTGAGTGTATGTTTCTGTGTTTGTTGGGTGGGTATGTGCAGAGGCCCAAGAAAGCCAGAGGATTTGGACCCCTTAAAGTTGCAGCTGCAGGTGGTTTTGAGCCACCTGATGTGGACGATGGGAACTGAACGCTGGTCCTCTGGAAGAACAGTGGGTGCTCTTAACCACTGAGCCTTCTCTCCAGCCCCTCAAAAATTTTAAATTAAAAGCAGTTTTCTTTTTCCCCACGATGATAATCTCCAAATAAACTCCAAATTCTGACATAAATTCAGTTCTTAAAAGATTAAACTACACTTCTAAAAACTCTTTACTACTCAGAGAAGGTCTCTGTATCAGTTGCTGGTTACATTAATATTTAAGTAGTCATTTTTCACAGAAAAATAGTACAGTTACCTTACAGTCATTTGATGAAATAAAGCTTAAGACAAGTTACTTAAAGCAAAACTCCGTTAGACGTTTGTTTGGGAGAAAGGCAAGTTTTCAGAAAGTATAATGTACCATTAGTAAGTCTTACCTGAGGATTCCACCCTGGATCTAGGTTTTTAACTGCCGCGATATATTCCTGCATTGCTTGTTTAGGGCTTGAGTCACCAAGGGCTTTCCATGCTTCCCTACAGCACAGAAGAGACAAAATGGCCTTCATTAGTGATGCAAATAACACAAACAGCATGTTCTTTAAAACATATCTTGCAGCGTAGCTCAGGCTCATCTTAAAACTCATATCATATCTAGCTAGTATATTTATTATTAATATTTTATATAGACATATGTATTTCATTGGTCTGAGACCATAAAGATAACAAACTATACAAAGGAAAAGCACTCCAATTATACTTTTACAGTGACAAACAAGTATAAAACTTTTTACACTACCTCAGGAGCCTTTGGGGAATTTCTTTCTTTCCCTAACTGGCCTCTCTCATGAAATTTTAGAACATAGATATCTTGCTTACCTGTTGAATTTTGTAATACTACAAACTATGGTAACCGACAAATTTAATTACGTCTCCCTAAATCCAGTGTTTACTCCTACTGAGGCCATATCATTTACAGACCTGTGGAGTACTTCCCATCTTATAAATTCACTGTTCAGGTTCCCTGGACAGTCTGCTTCGTTTATCCTAGCCAATTCTTTCCCCTTTAACCAGATTTTTCTACCCTCAAATCTATATAAAGAGAGCTCAGTCCTGTTCTTCACTACTTTCCTGCTCTTAGGAAGAAAGCAAGCTCGTTCTGAGGTTTTTAAATATTTTACTGACTTTTGTGACAGTTACTTATACATAAAATAATGCCTCACCCCTAAATAAATGTTTATATCAAGCTTAGGAATCATATCAACTCTATAACTGAGAGACAATCTATTTAGACTCCCTTGACTGTCACAACAGTGTCCTGTGTAACTGTCTTTTCCCAGACCAGAAGCCACTCAGGACTCACACACAGCACTGAGTTCATTTATCTTCCTCTTTATCTTCTATGATGTTGACATTATTGAAGAGTCAAAAGCAATTATTTTACAAAATACCACTCAATTTGGACTTGTCTAATTGTTTTCTCACCTAAATGGTGTTCTTGTCAAAATGATTAATCATGATTAAAATTAGATTAAAATATTTCGGTAAGAGTAATATATGTAAGTGGCATGTTCCTTAGAATGGGTTGCAGTAGGGACACATGATGTCAGTCTGTCCCATAACTAATGTACCGATGACTTGGTAATGACAGTATCTGATGTTTTCTGCTTTACTAATTAATAAGAGTGCCTATGAAGTATAAACTTTGGGGGCAGAAAAATATATAAACTTTTTAATAATCATTTTTTAAAGGAGAACAAAGGGAATGCATAAGGAAAAATAAAAGTGAAGTGATAAAATTTCACAAAAGAAGCCAGGCAGTGGTTGTTCACGCCTTTAATCCCAGCACTTGGCAGAGGTAGGTGGATCTCTGTGGGTTAGAGGCCAGCTTAGTCTACACAGTGAGTTCAAGTACAGCCAGGGCTACAGAGATGCTGTGTCAAAACAAACAAGCAAATAAATAAATAAATTCACAAAACAAAAAAGCTCACAGTAAAGGTTACATTTGACAATTTCTAGAATAGTAATAAGCCCAGAGGATGTCCCACATTTTAAAAACAGAATGCCATCTGATTTAAAGAGTGTGGTCAGTGGCCTAAGTGACTAACGTCCAGGTTCAAGCTGCATCCCGCCTCACAGATGAATGCTGGCACTTAGGACTATTGTCCAGGGCCCCACATTTTGTAGAGGGCAGTGATAGAATACATGGTCAAATCCATACTTTAGCCTGCTGTCGCTTTACAACTTCATTCTTTTTTTTTTTTTTAATAAAGCTCCATCCGGGACTGGATGGTTCAGTGGTTAGGAGCACTTGGTGGTTTACAGAAGACCGAGATTCATTTCCCAGCACCCACGCGGCAGCTGACAACCATCTGTAACTTCAGTTCCAGGGGATCCAAACCCCTCTTCTGATCTCCCTGGGAATCAGGTACATCTGTACATATATACATACTGGCAAAACATCCATACACATAAAATAAGTAAATAAATCTGGAAACAAAGAAATAACAACAAACAACAAAACTCTGAGAGACCTTTAATATAAGAAGTAATTAGCATAAATACAGGAAGGTGCTCGTAATAATAAGTTATAGGCTGACCTGAAGCCTATAACTTAGCCTATAACTTAGCCTATGACTTAGGCTTCAGCGGACTGTTATGAAAGGCAGCTCCAACTGTGTGTTTGAAGTCATGCTCAAATGCTTAAGTCTGGTATCAGAATCTTAGAAATGCTGAAATGTAGGCCAGTCCTAACCCTGATTACAAAGCAATAAATAACTCTACCCTCAACACAAGTCTTACCATCAGAGCTAATGCTCAAGATTCTGTAACTATTCTTTAACAGTTTTTCCCCCTTCGGCTTAAGCCAGGTAAGAAAAAATAATATGAGAGAATCTTTGAATTACAGGTGAAAAATGTCTAGTTTTGAATTTTCTTTTTCCTCCACAGTTCATGTGTGTGTGTGTGTATATATATATATATATATATATATATATATATATATATATATATAT